TTTTAAGATTTTTATTTATTTGACAGAGACAGAGCGAAAAGAGGGAACACAAGCAGGGAGAAAGGAAGAGGGAGAAGCAGGCTTCCCGTCGAACAGGGAGCCCGATGCGGGGCTCAATCCCAGGACCCTGGGATCATGACCTGAGCTGAAGAGAGACGCTTAACGACTGAGCCACCCAGGCGCCCCAAAGATCTCATGTAATTTATTGAATGCTGCACTGAAAGTAAAACAGAATGGTTATATGGGTACAGAACGGTTGTTAAGTGTATCAGTTGTTTATCCTCCTGACTGAGTGGCTGGGAGCTTCTGGGGGCTGCCGCTGCCGGGCATTATAGAGGATCAAGCTGCATATTGCTAGCCCAGGAAAAGATTAAAAATCAAAATTCAAAGTACAGTTTCTACTTTATTTGTATCACTTTTACACCATCATAAAGTCAAACTATCGTAACTCTAACTCGGGGAACTATCTGTAAATGAAGTGTCCAGAAGAGGCAAATATGCAGAAAGTAGATTAGTCATTGCCTAGGGCTAGGGGGTTGCGGAGGAATGAGGAGTAACTGCTAAGGCACAGAGGGTTTCTTTTTGGAATTAGTGGTGAGGGTTGTACAATTCTCAGTATAGTAACAGCCGTTAAATTGCATACTTTGTGTGACTTGTAAATGCGAATTCTCTCTCCATAAAGCAGTCATTTTTTAAAAGACTTTTAAAAACTGGTTACCAAGTAAAACTACTTGTGTATTCCAGGAGAATCTGTGTCTTTGTAAATGAGAGACCATATTGCAGAAGTTGTAGAAACCCAAATCATTTCAGCAAGGGAAAAAAAAAAAAAATCAGAAAGTCTATATGGAAAGGGGAAGGGGAATTGATTTCTGTTTAATTTCAAGGTAGTGGGTGTGTTGGGGTCATATCACCCCAAATGCATAGATATTATACGATGGATTGCATAACTAAATTCTGACCTGCTCATCTGAAAGCTATCAGTTCCAAAAATAAAGGATTTAGAGGAGAGGTGAGATTTAAAAACAAGAAAAACAGGCAAAGGCTGACATTAGTTAGCTTTTTGGAGACTCTAAAAGTTTACAAATGTAAGGATCCTCTGGCATGTTGCACCCCATGTTCACAAAATAAGAATATGGATTTGAGCCTAAAATATACACCATTTCCTAAGATGAATTTAGAAATTGGACTTAACTAGAAGTAGTAGAGCCTTCAAGTTCTGGAGCTGAGGGTAAGACATGAACAGCGAGATCAGTGCTGGGATCTCAGTGTTTGAAATTTGGGAAAAATATTTAAAAGTGAAGGGTCTGCCAAGCCACCCAGTCATGTATCTCCTTAATAATGAGCCTGTAGCAGAAATCAATGCAATCTCTGACTAAAGTGAATACAGAGTCCTAAGGTGGCAATATGTCAAATGACAATATGGAAGTCTCATGGCCATTAGCTGACACCGCGTTAACATATTTTTGGAAACAGAATAATAGAGAATTTCGTTTACATTTTTTAGCCTTTAACTTTCAAACTATTACCAAACTGTTTAGTCCCACTCTGTCTTAAGCATCATTTGTACGGAAAAATCAGCCTACTGCTTTCTTTAAGAACAGGCAAGTCATTAATTGATCCAATGTGTTGGCAGTTCTGGAGAACCTTTTTAGACAGGAACAAATGATGCCTCTTTCTGTTCAAAGAAGCCAAGTTTAACATCTCATGCATACGCACAGAGAAACATTTAAGGAATCCTGCTAATTAGCTAACAATCCTCTCGGAATTTACAGAACCAAAAAAACCTTCACAACCCCTCAAGTCAGAGTTTAGATATTAAATGTTTAAAGATACTTTACATGACCTAAAGTGCTCCTCCATGGTCCTCCAAATCCTTGAATATCATAAAGTTTAAGTAGTGCTCCTAGGACTCAATGTTGGGGTACAATCTTTTCCCCCACAAAACTGCTGAGCTCCAAGAAAATATATCAAGTGTTCCTAAATGCTGTATCATAGTGTTTCTAAGTGAACTGCCTCTCCTCTTCATTAATTAAGGGGCTGCATTTTTCTGGCCTATGTGTTAAAAAGCACTGAACTTTCCCCATTTCACCTGTTTGTGTTAAGCTTGACAGGTTCCTTGTTGAAGGCAGCTGGTGTTGATTAGCAGAGGCAGACCAATGCTATACCTCATTAACAGGTGATAACAGCTCTCAGAAGGAAAACTTGTTCCCAAGAATGCACCCCCCCCAACAATACAGCCAAAGCTTAGTTATTTCATTTCAGTAGCATCACTGTTTACTAAGAAAATGACATTTTTGATCAGGCAACTCCAATCAGAAAATGCATCTGTCATTTCTATCCCCCCGCCCCCTTATGGATGCTACGGCCTCAACCCAGGAACCCCTCTAGGGAAGGAGGGCCCAACTCAAGAAGGCCAGTCTGCTAAAAGTAGCTGGTTATGGCGGAGAAGCCTGGAGAGGTTTTTTTGTTTTATTCCTACCGCGGAAGCAGTGGTTATGTCAGGCCTATGGATAAATAAATACGAGTTTCAGGGCAATAATGTATTTCTGGCCCTGGCACCCCTCAATCATTAAGAAAAGCTTATTCTTTCTACCCTGAAGTCGCCTCATTCTCGCCAAAAAGAAAGCCTTCAGCATAATCTCCCAATTAGGCAAAGGATAACGCAATACTGGAAAAGTAGGCATAACTTTATGGCCACCATGCTCTTCTTGGCTGGTGGAGGATTATTTACCATCGTGCCTGCACGTCAGCTTCTCCGAATGACACAGAGCACAGGACTTTTATTATTATTTACGATGTGCGTCAACCCAGCGGGGGGGGGGGGGGGCTCTTAATCTCCCACGAAGGGCTGAAACCCGACTTGAAGGAGCAAGTTAGCGGTGGTGAGCTGCCAGCACCAGTAACCCTACCCGCCTCCTGACACACAAACGCCTGCATCAGGAGTGTACCTGATGCACACACTAGTGCAGAGCTGAGTTATCAGATCTACCGGTTCCAAACAGGTACGGGGCCGGTCAATAAACATGCAATATGCGAGCCCTGCTCCCAAACTTCCCCTTCCAGATCCTCCTCGGAAAAGTTAGCCCACCTCGGCTAACCCACGTCGCAGCGGCGCTATGCTAATCGGAACACACTCTCTGGTACCCCCCCCCCTTTCCCCCATCCGATTAGTCCTGCTCTGTAAACCCCCCGAAGTAACGCGAAGCAAAACTTAATAGGCACAGGGAACAGAGACGCGTCTCCTGCGCAGACTTCCCAGAAAGGAGCTAAGAGGCAGGCGCTGGATCCTTCTCGGCGCCTACATCCCCTGGGGCTCCCCCTCCCCCGCGCCCGCTGCGCACCCGCCCGGGGCGCTTACCTGCATGGGACATGGTGATGGTCTCGTTGGTGTTGGAGCCCACGTTGAAGATGACCACCGCGGAGGCGTTCTGTAGGAACGCGTTCCGGATCTTATCCCTGTACGTGCAGTTGCCTTTGGGGATGAGGGCTATCCAGTTCTTGCCGTGGGCCGGGGCGGCGAACTTGGTGTTGGGGTCGCAGGCTAGGCGGTCGTGGGCCGAGCTGGCCATGACCACCTCCCCGCGGGCGTCCTGCTTGGGCGAGTGCTCCCCGTAGCGCCCGCACTCAGTCTTCTCGGTGTGCAGCTCGGTGCCGCCGCCGCCCGCCACTCCGGGCCCGGGGTCCGGCGCGGGCTCCGCGTAGGTGATGTTCACGAAGGCGGTGTACCATTCCTCCTTCTCAGCCACGGTGAAGTCCAGGCAGAGCAGATGCACGAAACAAAAGGAAAGCAGCCATGTTGAGAGAGCCAGACTACGGCACGCTTGGATGAGAGACCTTGCCATCTTTATCCGCCGGGGCCCCCTCCCCGCCCCCCGCGCCCTCCCCCCGCCCCGTCCCGTCCCTCCTCCCCAGCCCCGGCCAACCCCGGGCCGGCGGCTTCTCCTCCCCCTCCTCCTCCCGTTCACTCCGGGGACCCGAGGGCCCGCGGCCGGGATGCGCAGCCGCCGCGGGGGCCGGATTCCGAGCGAGGGGATGGCGCCGGCCCCTTCCCCTTTCAGCTGGAGCGTGGCGGTTGCATTTCGCTTCAGCGGCGCTGGACGGGCGCGGGCGGAGGAGGCGCTTGGGCTTGCGGAGGGGTCCAGCGGCCGAGTGTCCGGCTCCTTGGCGCGGCTTCTGCTTCTCTCATAGGGGTGGCAGGGGCCCCAGGAGCTGCGGGGTGGCGGCTCCGCGCGCTCCAGCCCCGGCGGGGGCGGGCGCGGCTGCTCGAAGCCCGAGGTGCTGCCGAGGGCGTCCCGACCGCCGCCGCCGCCGAGCGCTCGGGGGAGTGGATCCGGCTGCTGGCGCGGCGGCAGCTTCTGCGGCGCGCCGGCTCCCTAGCGCTGGGGACGCTGCGCTCCTCTCTTCGCCGGGTGGCCGCACCAGGGACACACTTGCTGGAGAAGGGACGGCTCGGGGGCAGAGGGAGAGAGCGGCCGGAGGGGAGTACGAAGTCTGTGTATGTCCGTATATGTTTGTGTGTGTGTATAATGTGTGCGTGCAAGGAGGAGCTTAGTGTGATGTCAAAGATTCTGGGGTCCGCTTGCCACGCTCTCTCGGTCTTTCTTGATGGGCGGCAGCGACCCCTGGCGGGTCTCAAATTCAACCCCGTCTCGGACTTGGTCCAGGTGGGGGCAAAAGGGGAAGCGACCCCTAGACCTATGCGTGCAGGAACAACTTCCTGCGCCTTAAATATAGCGAAACGAGCGTGCCTCTCGTAAACAACCTTATCCTGTGCAGGAGAACTGCAGCGAGCTCCCTAATTACCCACCCTAGGGCCAAAGGCTAAGGCAAATTGGTAGCGAGGGCCTTCCAACACCACACCTGGAGTATCTAGGGCAGTGACGATCAAATTTAAGTGTGTAGAAGCATCACCTGGAGGGGGGATGTTAAAGCTCAGACTGATGGGCCCTGCCACAAAATTTCTGATTCACTACATCTGGGTTAGGGCTCCAGAACATACCTAACAAGGTCCCAGGTGATGCCCATGCTACTGGCCTAGGGACCACTCTATTAGAGGGAGTATAGGTATGGGTTTCTTTCCTCCCATCTGGAAGCAAACATGTGACATTTGTTTTCTTACAAAATGGGTGTTTCTATATAAGAAAAGAAACCGAGTGAGCTGTTTCTCCACTGTGTTTATTTGGGTTGTCATGACTGGTAGTGTCAACAGGCAAGGGAGGTTTCTTTGTGTTATTGTTTATAGTGTGTTCTCCCGGTAGAGATAGAGATCACAACTAGTCAGCAGAGAGTACAGCCCCTTCAAGTAGTGTTCTTCAAACTGACACAGCACAGTCCCTTGCCATTTAAATGTTTGGATGGTCGTTATACTTTACACCCACAGTTTCCTTGGCTTGAGATACCTGCCGTATAAAATCTCTAAGATAATTCGAGTGATGGTTCTCAATCACTCACGTTGAACTTCCCACCTGGCATTCCTTCAGAGAACCCAGGACTCAATGATGAACAAAAGCCCGCCTTTTCCCTAAGACCTTAATATGTTTGCAGCTTTCTGTTAATGACAGTCCCCCAGCACAACCTCTCTTTTTCCAGCAGCAGTGCAAGCAGCTGGTGGCTGTTTGGGGGAGAGCAAGGAGCCCCAGCTATACCCAAATTGGAAGCAGGCACAAGAAGAACTACTTAGAAGAATTCGTCTCTATGGTATTTGATGTGCTGGTTTTGTGTGTTTTCCTAACTTACTCATTTTAGAAAATAGGCTTCTAGGCAATTGGGACAGTGCTTTTTATAGTACCTAATGCCAAGGAGGCAGACATGGAGACTGCCTGGCTGTTGGTCCCTGAATCACCAGAGATCCGAGGGAAGAGTTCATTGGCTGAAAACTCCTAGCTAGGTTCTGTGCAGATGCCTTAGCAAACCAAGTGGTTCCCTAAACCTCTCTATCTCTTAGCAATTTTTCTCCAGCCACAACACTTGGGGAATCTGTGTCATTAAGAATGTATGATTACCGGGGTGCCTGGGTGGTTCAGTTGGTTAAGCATCTGCCTTCAGCTCAGGTCATGATCCTGGGGTCCTGGGGTCGAGCCCTGTGTCGGGGGGGGGTCCCTGCTTAGCTGGGAGTCTGCTTGTCCCTCTCCCTGTGCCCCTACCCCCGCTTGTGCTCTCTATCTCTCTCAAATAAGTAAATAAAATCTTTTTTACAAATAAAAGAATGCATGACTACTGCTTATCCTTTCTTTCTCTTAGAAAAGTTAGAGGTTAAAGAAATGACAGGGTCGAGGAGGCAGCATCCTGGCTGGGAGTTGATTAATTACAGGGACATTGGGCAAATAAGTAAAATATTGAATATAATGGGAACTAGGTTTCTTAGTGTTGGAAAAAATTTACAAATATGGAAAGAAAGAAAGCTCTGAAGAACTCCAGAAGTGTTGGATTAGTTTAAAAATAGGTGTGAAATCACACACACACATATATACCATACTCTTTTTATTCAGAGGCTGGAAACAATGGATACATCAAATGGCCAAAAGTTCTTGGTTTCTATGTCCCATCCTCCAGTAAAAGAAACCAGGGAAAATCCCCAGTAAGCTTGGAATCTCTCTTTTTTTTTTTTTAAGATTTTATTTATTTATTTGACAGAGACAGAGATAGCGAGAGCAGGAACACAAGCAGCGGGAGTGGGAGAGGGAGAGCAGGCTTCCCGCTGAGGAGGGAGCCCGATGCAGGGCTCGATCCCAGGACCCTGGGATCATGACCCCAGCCAAAGGCAGACGCTTGACAACTGAGCCACCCAGGTGCCCAAGCTTGGAATCTCTTATAGCGCAGTGCTCAAAGCATTATGGCCAACATGCCAAAAGGACACATGAGCCAGCTGGATGGAGCTCCCACTGACCAAATTGGAACAATTCGAGTGTAAAAATAAATAATGATAGTAACTGATTACAACCTGTTGGATAAAACCGGAATCCATGAGTCTGTGCTAATATAAATGAATAAATAAATAGTAAATAGTGATAGAATAAATAGAGAAGGGACAGCTCTTCCTGATGGCAGAATTTGAACTAATAAGATTGATGAAAATAGAAAGTCACTATTCAGCAGTGTTGATTAATTCAGTCAGGAGTCAGTGGGTGCTAAGGCTGGTGGGTGGATGTTTGATGTACAGCAGGATGTACAGTTAGCCTGGTCTTGAAGTACCTCCTGAAAATGCTTATTGATTACAAGGGGGGAAATAGTGGATGTATTGACGAGAACCCTGGAAGACACCAAATTGACCAGGGGAACAAGAGGAGCACCGCCGGTAGTAGAGTGAGTCACATCACGTGCCTCATGTGATGTGCTGACAAGAACACAGCATCATCTCTGTGACATTTCTCGCCAAGAACGCCTGGCCTGAATCTGGACATGGGGAAACATTGGGTAGACCCAAGGTGAGAGGTAGCCTATAAAATGAAAGGTTTGTATTCTTTAAAACTCTTAAGCTCGTGAGAGACAGACAGAAGAACTAATCAATCCAAATCGAAGGAGACTCAAGAGCCATGATAACTCAATGCAACAAATGATCCTAGTTTGGCTCCTGGACCAGAAAGGAAAAATATAACAGTTGGCCAAAACTGAATGCAATCTGTGGATGTCTTCCCAGTGCTGGTTACCTGATTTGGATGTGTATATTGTAGCTATGAGAAAAAGGTTCTTGTGGGAGGATATGCTCTGAAGTATCAAATAGTGATGAGGCATTCTGTCTGCAACTTGCTCTTAGGTGGTTCAAAAAAAAAAAAATGATAATCTGTCTATAAGATCTTGGTTTCCAGTAGCCACTATTGCAGAGAAGCTGGAACCCAATTCATGATAAAATAAAAAGTCAAAAGTCTACTTTGGAGAGGGGAGTGGTGAATAAATCTGTTTCCAGTTTTGTGCTAATGATTCTCTTCCTTTCCAGGAGCATTACTTGACCCACTGAGCTGGATGTACACTAGGGTACACTAGAGAATAGGACAGGTAAGGTTTTTGCTCTTGTGGAGTTTACATTCGGGGCTGGAAGAAACACATTCTTTTATGTTTTAGATTATACCAAGTAATAACAAGTGCTAGTGAAGAAAATGGCAGAGTGAGAAAGGGTGACCTATTTCATATAAGGTGCTATTTTACATCAAGGTCAGTGGCTCTGATTCCATGACCTTTGAACAGAATCCTCAAAGTATGGGATCTCTGTGTATATTTGGGGGACTGGTTGTACCTGGAAGAGGGAAGCATGAATACAACAGCTCTGAGGTGAGACTGTATTTGCTGTGCTCGAAGAAGAGCAAGGAGACCACTAAGGTTGGAGAGGAGTGAGAGAAAGAGAAAAAGGCCAGAGAGCCGGGTGGCCCATCATACAGTCTTGGGGTCCAAGGTAAGAACACCTTGGATTTTATTCTGAGTGGGAGGAAAAGCCTTTGGAGAGTTTTGAGCAGGGAAATGACATAGTCTGACATATTTTAAGAGGTTTATTCTGGCTGTATTGGCACAAGAATGGGAGCAAAGAGAACAAGCAGGCGTTAATAATAATAATTCAGGAAGCAGCGGATTGTGACCTGTGCTAGAAAGGTGGCAGTGAACAAGGGGAAAAGCAATTAGATCATTAGCATATTTTGAAGATGGAATAAACAGTATTCTCTAGTGCATTTAAAATGTAGGATGATGGGACGTCTAGGTGGCTGAGTCGGTTAAGTGCCTGATTCTTGATTTCTGCTCAGGTCATGATCTTGGGGTCATGGGATGGAGCCCCGCATTGGGCTCCACATTCAGCGGGGAGTCTGCTTGGGATTCTCTCTCTCTCTCTCTCCCTCTGCACCTGCCCCCCTTCTCTCAAATAAATAAATC